ATATAACTAATATAAATAGCCATTTGGGATGTAGGTAGCAATCTACAAGTGTTCCTGTGCAAGCTAAAACCACTTTAGTTTCATTAGATTTGCATCACTTTGACAAACTAGTCATTCTAAAAGATGTTCATCTTCAACTCAGCATTTGTTGTCTACACCTGTAGAGGGCAATGGTATAACAGCTGAAATTAGCTTTAGAGGTACTTCACTGACCAAACAAACTACAAAAATACTTTATCGGGAGCTATCATCAACTACAGACCACAGACTTTCAAAAGGAAAAAAAGTAATTTTCACTCTATGCTGGTATTAAAATATTTTTCCCAATTATTCTACATACAAAAGAGTAGCCACTAAATTTATAGAGAATTTTATGTCAGACTGATCTTACTCTCCAAGAATAATGGACAGAGACTTTAGAACTGGGTTTTTTTCTCAGATCAGGTCTAGGCAAAATGAAATCAAAACAAACATCAAAGGCTCAATGAGGAGAAAACACATGCAAAAGCCTTGTATTGGATGCTTTATCTTTTTTTTTTTCTCCATAGCTCCATTTTCCATTGAGGACTTCTACATTTACAGGCTACCATCTGTCTTGGAATAAAATAAAAGCTTCTAAAATAAAATTGAGATTAGTTATGTTACAAGTAAGAAGATGGACCACAATGTACCTTTTCCATCTTATAAACTGTTCTATGAAAGAGTAAAATAATAGAAAAGTTACTAAATTAACTACATCTTTTATTGTTGTATCAGCCACTGTCTAATACATTGATGCAACTTCCAAGTGAAACTTCTCCATTGTGTATCAGATGCAAATATGTGTGCAAACAAAAGATACTTCTGTGCTTCAAAGTCTCCCCACTAACAGAGTAGATGGATGCCTGCTGTCATCTGCAGTTTACCACAAATCACCTCAAAAAGTTCTGTCATTAAACACCACAACCACAAAACAAAGGTGGATACTGGGAGAATCCTTTAGAAAAAATGTCATCTGAGACATCACAGAAGGCTAAGGTTGGAAGGGACCAACCCACCAACCTGTGGGTCATTTGGTACAACCTCCCTGCTCATGCAGTAACCCTAGAGCACATTGCTCAGGATTGCATCCCAATAGTTCTTGAATATCTCCAGTCAAGGAGACTCCACAATCTTTCTAGGCAACCTGTTCCAGTGTACAGTCACACAGCAAAGAAGTTCTTCCTCGTATTCAGGCGGAACTTCCTGTGCATCAGTTTCTGCCCATTGCCTCTTATCCTACTGCTTGGCAGCACTGAGAAGAGGCCTCTGTTCAGAGATTCCCTCTCAGTTGTCTTTCTTAAGGCTGAACAGCTCCAACTCCCTCAGCCTTTCCACATAAGAGAGATGTTCCAGTCCCTTACGCATCCTCGTTGCCCTCCACTGGACCTCTCTTGTACTATCTTGTACTGAGAAGCACAGACCTGGACACAGCACTCCAGATGTGGCCTCAGTAGGGCTGAGTAGACAGAGAGGATCACCTCCCTCGACCTGCTGGCAATGCATTTCCTAATGTATCCCAGGATACCATTGGCTTTCTTGGCCACAAGGACACACTGCTGGCTCATGGACAGACCCCAGGTCCTTCTCCACAAAGCTGCTTTCAGCAGGTCAGCCCCCCAGCCTGTACTGGTGCCTGAGGTTATTCTCTCCCAGGTGCAGGACCCCGTACTTTGCTGAATTTCAGGCAGTTCTCTGCTCATCTCTCCAAGCTGTCGAGGTCCTTCTGAAGGGCTGCACAGCCCTCTGTGGTATCGGCCACTCCTCCCAGCTTTGTGTCATCAGCAGACTTGCTGAGGAGGCATCTGCCCTTCCATCCAAGTCATTGATGAATAAGTTAAACAATACTAGGCCCAGTATAGAACCTTGGGGGACATCACAAGTGACAGACCTCCAACTAGACCCTGTGCCACTGACAATGATCCTCTGGGACCTGCCGTTCAGCCTGTTCTTAATCCACCTCATTACTCATCCAGTCCACACTTCTCGAGTTTGCCTATCCTATGAGGATATTGTGAGAGACAGTGTCAAAAGCCTTCCTGAAGTTGAGGTAGACAATATCCACTGCTTTTTGCTTATCCATCCAGGTAGTTGTTTTGTTGTAGAAGGCAATCAGGTTGCTCAAGTATGACTTACCTTCAGTGGACCCATGCTGACTGCTCCTTATCACCTTCTTGTCATCCATGTGGACAGAGATAGCTTTCAGAGTGAGGCACTCCACCACCTTTTCAGGGATTTAGTTGACGCTGATTGGTTGGTAGTTCCCTGTGTCCTCCTTCTTACCCCTTTTGAAGACTGGGGTAAAATCTGTTTTCTTCCAGTGCTCAGGCACCTCCCTTGATCACCGGATCAACCTTTCAAAAATGATTGTGACCGGCCTAGCTATGGTGTTAGCCAGCTCTCTTACCATTTATGGATACATCCTGTCAGTGCCAATGGACATGTGGGTGGTCAGGGTGCTCTCTAAGCCAATGCTCCATGACCAAGGGAAAGTCTTCCTTACAATATTCCTTCACCCTAGTCTCCCGGGTCAGAGATTGATGAGGGCTGGTCTTGTCAGTGAAGATGGATGCAACAAAGGCATTCAGTAACTCTGCCTTTTCCACGTCCTCTGTTAGCATGGTCCCCACTCCATTAATTCCAGATGGGCCTTGGCCTTCCTTGCCTCATTTCTCCTTATTCTGATGACCTTTCTATTCTCATTCCAAGTGGCCTGATCCTGCTTTCATCTCCTGTATATTTCCTGCTTATGCTTGTGTAATGACACAAGTTCTTTATTCATCCACACAGGTCTCTTGCCCACTTAGCCTGATTTCTTGCTCATCAGGATGCATCGTTCTTGAGCCTTGAGAATGTGATCCGTTAATATTAACCAGCTCTCCTTGACACCTCTTCCCTGTAGGACCTGTTCCCACAGGATTCTTCAAAGAAGACCAATAAAGTGGGTAAAGTTAGCTCCTTAAATCCATGGTTGCAATCTTACTTGCTGCCCTGCTTCCTTCTTGCCCAATGCTGAATTCCACAATCTCATGGTAACTGCAGGCAAGGTTGTCCCCAAACTTTACATCTCCAACAAGGCCTTCCGTGTTAGTATAAGGTCAAGTATCACACCATTCCTTGCAGGATCCTCCATTACATGCCATAATCATATAAACTTCATCCACTGAGGTGCTGAGATGCAGTGAAAGGATTTTGCTTTTTTAAAAGGTTAACTCAATTCCCTGGATCACGTTGAAAGTTTCAGTTAGAAAATACAATTGACCTCGCATTACAAAACACAGAAAACCAAAGCCAGCCTGAAAAGACAACATTCTGCTTATGTTCAGTTCTGCTGACAATTTGACCAAGTTTATATTTAGTTATTTTCTAAATATGGCAAAGCTGCTTTCCAAGAACAATATATTACCTTCCTAAAAAAGAATGAAAAACATAAGATAACATGACTGTAAAGTATATGTTAAGTAATTTAAAACTTAAGGTATCATTGAGTTTTGTAATAGAATAAAATATTAATTTGTAGCCTTCTTACACTGATTTCAAGAGACTAATAAAAAAATCTTAAGGTAAACTTTAAATCCATAACAGTTTATATACACCTTCTGTGGATTGCATAAACTTGTGAGCAACTCTGAGAGATACTCCTATAAATCCTGCCCTGCCTTAAAGGCTGGACTAGTTTTCTTGTACTATTCCTTCTTTGTTGGGCAGACACAAACCACTGAATAACCTTTCCAATTATTTACCACAGTAGCTTTGGTAGCTAAATAAAAATTATACCAGGATCACTGCGGTACGAGGCCCTCATGCTTTGCTTCAAAGGCAATTCGGTTATCATGAAACACATTCTCTGCACCTCTGTTTGGCGTTTCTAAGAATGATGAGATTTCATTGCAGAAGTGCAACCCTTAGCAGTGAGGCAGAGATAATAGGAAATGTTCCTTTCTTTTCTTATACTGACATTGTTATACCCTGGATTTTCATGCCGACAAAAGCAATCAACTTTGTTTTATTTACCCACGATGGAACAGTCAATACCATATTGTCCCATTTCCAATTCCACTTATGTCAAGAGAAGCTAAAACAGTGAATCAGTAATCTCACTCTTTAAATGTATAGAAGAAATTGTCATGTGTTAATATCAAGGGTTAGCATCTGCATTTACAAAGATTACATTATTAAAACAATACAGAACAATGCTACTTAGATTTAATCCCATTTTCAGTACAACCTTCATGAATAAAGAATAATTATTGAAGTTAAAAGGCCTAAATTATTGTAGAAATACATTTTCAGGATGTTTAGACAAAAATACTACCTTGAGAATTTTCAGAAAAATTTCCAATGGATGCAACTCCCATGATGTTTATGAACAGTCAGCACCAAAATGTGTAATTCCACCTGACACACCAAAGCTCCCAAATCATTGCTGCTTCCCTCCAGGCACCACAGAGAGATTTTTATCAGCTGACAATTATCTCACCTACCCTTTAGGCTTTCAGGATTACAGTGCTAAGATAGGACAGGGCATCAGTAGAGCCACTGGGATTTGTATCAAGAATGTTTTGAAAGAAATTCAGTGTCCAGCTAAAAATTAAATACCCAAACTGAACGAAATGTTGAATGTTGACATAGCCTGGTGCTGTTGAAGGAAGATTTTAAAGTTATTGACAGTTTTACTCTCTTCTGACCACAAAAACTGAAAAAACACATAGGATACATCAGATTTTAGCCAGTGTAAACTTTGTTATAACCACAGAATTAGAGTTTAACTATGCTTGATATGTATCCTCAAACATGATTCCTTTGTCCTGAAAGAGTAAACCACTTGGTTTTAATTTTCAATATTTTATTATAGGTTGAGGTTTAAAAATAAAATATAAACAGATGCTTCTGAGAACAGGCTAAGAAGAGAAGCATTTAATCTATAGATGAGATTGAAAGCAGCTAGGTAACCTAAATGAGAGAGGAAAAACAGGACTTACCTTTGAACACTGTTTATGATTCTGGCACCAAGCAAGTGACCCATTGTTCTGAAAGATAAAGGAAAAGTAAATAAATATTAATATTTCTTTCAGACTAGATATGTCCACCCTAATGTGTTAAAATAGAAAACACCATCCGGTTCTTCTTAGATGTTCTGCCACAACACGAGTACCAATGCTGACTCCTACTCCCTTGTGTGGAGTAAAAGGCTCAGGCGAGTGTAAAGAGATCAGAAAAAAGTTAGGAATGCATTTCACCAGATAAGTTTGGTGGAAAACTGACCAGTCATCTTTTAGTCCATCTTTGTAAACACTTATTGTCTAGAATTGCTAAGAAGCAGACAAAAGGTAACACTTGCATTTAAGAAATTGATATGGATTGGTAGTGATTCATGAACAGAAAGTCCATTAGTCACATTTCAATACTGCATGATACTTAAAATAAATTACCGAGGAAAGATAATGAACAACCTTGAAGTAATGGAAAATTCAATTAAATGAGACATGAGTTTACCAAAGACATCTGTGCCAGTTTTATTTTATATTTTTGATAATAAAGTGCGTTTCCCAGATAAGGAAACACTATAGCTCTCATTTATCTTGACTGCAGTAAAACAACCAATACAGTATAACATGCAAAATAATAATTTAAGCTAAAGGAAAAGAAAACATGATGAGAACAGAAAGATAAATATAAAACTGGCACAGGGACAAACAGCAACTTGCTGTTCTCCTAGAGGAGCTTCTGAAGAGTCAATTTTGGAAACAATATTTCCAGTTTTAAAAAAAACACAGCTCAGAAAAGAGAAACATATGTTTGTGATGTTAAGAGATAAAACAAAATAATGATTCACTTTCTGTATAGGGGAAGATCGAAACAACATCAGGAAGAATTGAGTGACACTTTAGACTGAACATGAGAAATAGGGTACAAACTCTGAAACACAGAGTGCATGTTCATGTACTTCGGACCTCATATATATTTCTTCCAAAATTTATAAGTTCATACTCTGGAAATAGAACAGATGAAGATCTGGTAAATTTGTTGTTCAGAATCTGACTACAATTGTGAGTCAGATAGAGTAATAGGACATCCTTTCATATCAATTAGGCAAGGTATTCCCACAGGGATGAATTAATGTGACTGTAGTATATCTTTGCCATTGGCACCAACTATAGATCTGGAAATCAGTTTCCAAGGAGAAGGAATTCAGGTAGGCCAGAATACGAAGGACTAATACAGCAGCAGTATACCTTTTTCTTTTTTTTTTTTTAATGAAGGGTGATGCAAATAATAGAATAATACACATATATATATATACACATGTGTTGGTTTCATCTAGGATAGATATAATTTTCTTCACAGTAGCTAGTATGGGCTATGCTTTCGATTTGTGCTGGAAACAGTGTTGATAACAGGGATGGTTTTGTTACTGCTGAGCAGGGCTTACATACAGCATCAAGGTCTTTTCTGCACCCGATCCCACCAGGGAGCAGGCTGGAGATAAACAAGGAGTTAGGAGAGGACACAGCTGGGACAGCTGATTCCAACTGACCAAAGGGATATTCCATACCCTATGGAATCATGCTCAACATATAATGCTGGGGGGAGAAGGAGGAACGGGGATATTTGGAGTGATGGTATTTGTCTTCCCCAGTCTCCATTATGCTTAACGAAGCCCAGCTTTTGTGGGGATGGCTGAACACCTGCCTCCCTATGGGAAACAGTGAAATAATTCCTTGCTTTGCTTGCGTACATGGCTTTTGCTTTACCTATTAAACTGTCTTTATCTCAACCCACGAGTTTTCTCACTTTTACTCTTCTGATTGTCTTCCATATCCCACCCAGGGGGGCAATTGAGTGAGCACGTGTGTCAAGCTCAGTTGCCAGCTGGCTCTTAACAACAATACATAACTGTTTATGTATAAAACTCACACAGATAAATTCAGAATTACTCTCTTAATATCCATCAACTACAATTCAGAAAGAGAAATAGATACATTGGAAACATTGTAACCAAGACAACTAGAACAGTTTCTCAAAACTGCAGCACTATGTTCTGATCCAGCAAAGCTTATAAGCTTGAATACAGTGACTTGCTACCACAAGTATGAAGCCTATGCTTTGAGGCTGGATCTCTCTTTGTGAATGTTTCAATAGATCGTGTTTGTGCATGTCTTCATACAAGTATATTACACGTTCACAAAAGCTCCCAAGATGTGGCCAGCAGGTCGAGATAAGGGATTGTCCCCCTCTAATCTGCTCTCATGAGCCCCACATAGAGAACTGCATCCAGTTCTGGAGTCCCCAGGACAAGGTCAAGGACCCGTTGGAGCAGGTCCAGAGGAGGGCCACGAAAATGATCTGAAGACCGGAGCTCAATAAAGGCTGAGAGAGTTGGGGTTGTTCAGCCTGGAGAAGAGAACACTCTGGGGAGACCTTATTGCAGCCTTTCAATATATAAAGGGGGCTTATGAGAAAGATAAGACTTTTTACCAAGGTCTGTAGTGACAGAACAAGAGGCAACAGTTTTAAACTGAGAGAGGGCAGATTTATATTGGATCTAGGGAAGAAACTTTTTACAGTGAGGGTGGTGAGATACCGAAACAGATTGCCAAGAGAAGTGGTGGATGTTCCATCACTGGAACTGTTCAGCAACCAGTATGATCTCATGAAAGATCCCAGAACAGGGAGGGGTGCCTAGATGATCTTTATAAAGATCCCTTCCAACTTCAATCATTCTGTGAGTGTGTGGCTTCAACAATCTCCATAGTCATAGAATCACAGAATGGTTTGGCTTTCACCACAGCTTTTGATCTGAACTTCAGAAACTTTTATATAAGCCTTTTTTTCCATATAAGTTGTAATACTAGAAATTTCTACTCCTGTATTACCTAAGGAGCTCTGGGGATGGTAAAGATATATTTATTCCTTTCCACTTGTAGGCTTATTTAGGAGCAATTAAAAAAAAATCAGTTCAAATAATTTAATTTCAATATTTTACAAAAATTTATTTTATGTTCCAGCAGATTAAAATGCAATCACTATTTGATTTTATGAATACCACTTTTATCTATCATTACTGTAGAATTTAGCTAAAACTGAAATTTGCTAGCATAACACTAGCTAACTATGAGCACCATGTCAGGTCAAAAACCCTTTGAAAAGAGACATAAATAGAAGTAATAAAACTTTAGAACAGCCGTAAATAACATATGCTAGTGGGAATTCTTCAGTATTACCCTCAATGCTGTATGAGGATTTATTATTTCCACTTAAAGATCTAGCCAGCAGTAATGTAAAAACAATATTTCATGTGTTACTTTCAATTTATCCCCCCTTTCTTCTTCATATAAAATGTGACAGAGGTAGCTGATTGCAATAACAGATTAGTAGCAGCTCACCACTTTGTTTTAGTTACACTGCTACTTTCCACTGAACTAGAAAAAGCACCTCTGCTTTTAAATTATATCTGTTACTTGAGACAATAAAGCCATAAATGTCCAGATGTGTGTCCCCTACTTGATAATTTCAATGTCTACAACTGTTTTCATTTCTCTACTGAAAACTATTAGCACTTGAGTTAAAAAGTAAGTTTATCAAAAAGTAAAAGTATTGTTTAGCAACTTCAGCTTCATACAAACTCACATTCACAAGAAGTCAATGATCTTTTATTGCACAAGAAGAAAAAGCAAATTGTACAGGTTTCCTTTGAACAATAGGGTATTAGAGGAAGCACAAATGCTATATGAAGGCTCTCCTTCACTCTGCATCTTAGCAAATGGTTAATCAGAAACATTCAGCTGTGATTATTGTTCCTGTTAGTGTACCTGGCTGAAAACATAATTTCAAACCATCAGAAATTTCCCTCGTGTCTGTTTCTGTTCAAACCCAATCCTGACCTGACTTTTACCAATGAGAGTTTTGATTCAGTCTTTAGTGGTGGCTTAAGTCTGTGGTGCAGAAATGCCTCAAGGAAGAGTTCAATAAACCCGTCTGTAAGCCTTGCACCAGCATACCTTCAGGGCAACCTTGAAGTACCTTAATCTTCATACTGAAGAGAATAAACTGCACACAACATGGCAAACTCCAAGTATCCTTCTTCCCAGCCCTGCCATGTCATATGAAAGACATTAGGTAGATGAGACTAAAGCGTTCTACAACAGCATATAGTAGATGGAGTAGAGGAACTCAGATCCCCACTTGAGCCCCATACACTTTCAGTCTGTCAGGAAGGAAAATGCAGACAAACTTCCAGAATCAGACTTCAAAGACCAGGACAGTTTGAAGTTGTATAAGGACAAGAGTTTACCAAAGCAAAGACAAGGTGGAGAAAAAAACTTAAAACAGCAGACAAATATTACAAGACTTATCATTCAAACTTTTAAAGAAAATACATGCCACACATATTTTCAATGAAACTGTTAAATAGGCATCTCTAATCAGTCTTACTAGGCTACATTTCAGCAAGTATATGTGCACACTTGCTTTCCCCTGGCAAACTATAAATGTCCTTGTTCTGTGCCCTACTATGCCTTGAGAAAAAGAAAAGTTGTGCAGCAACTCCTGAAAGGAAAAAACACATACAAAGAAGCAAGAAAAATTGATCTTCTATCTACAGTGTGCCCCAGGGGAAAAAAACTAATAACTTTCACAAGCAAGTAAAAGTTGGTCTTTTATTGGAGGAATGGCAAAAAAAAATTATTTCATTTGCATCTCTGTCCATAATTATCTTAGGAGATACAACCCTTCTTTTGAAATGCCAGAGAATATCTATGAAAAATGTACTAGTCACTGAATCTGCTATGACAGTACCTGTATACCCATTATCAGTTTTGGAAGTCTCTTCTCCCCTGCCCAATTTTCAATTCACATTCGAGTGAAACAACCATCTCTCAAAATTGGCCTCTCCTGATGACCTCACCAATTCTTTCAAAATGACAAAAAAGCATAGAAATAAACCCCTCAAATAACAGTCCCCACTGAAGTGAAAAAGAACATTTGAGTAGACAAATCAATAATTGCTGCAATGATGAATTTAAAGAGA